TATCAGGCTATATCGCTTGCAACGTTTTCTGACTAAAAACCAAGGACTTGGTTTTCTAGCGGTTAGGTTTTTGCAGAAATCCTATTATCAACTTTTCTCATAAAACGGCGGTATGCACCTCATCTGACAGAAAGATCTTCGGGCTAATACAATATTCAGATTCGTTCCAGCTTCTACTAAAAAATCAAAAACAAAAGAGTTCGAATGATTATTACACACTGTACTGCACTGATAACACCCAACTCTTCTTTTCCATTTTTTTAATGACTGGTCCCACCTGTTGTTGATATTGTGTCCGGTTCACTTTTGTATTTTGTATTTTGAACCTACTTATGGGCTCTCAAAAAGCTGAACTTTTCAACCTGCTGAATCGTCTGACGTTTTTCTGTTCTTTCATTTCTATTTTAACTCAGTCTAAAAAATATTTTGTCAATTTCGCTCACAATCATCAGGACAACGATTATCATATTTTACCTAAATACAAATGCCTAGCCGAATTAATCGCACCAACAATAGTTGATACATCTCATGCAAAAAATTTCAAAATTTCAAAATCGCAAATGTGTCCGAATTTTCAACGGCACTATCTATATTATTCAAGAAAGAACCGAAACCACTGTTTTCAATAATTCACAGATGTATAAAGTTCGTTTAAATTAATTAACTATGCAGTTTGCACTCTCGAATGAGAACAGTTTATAAACTTATTCTTAAAGGAGAACATTTTCAAACAGTAAACTCTCGAAGGAGAACAAATAGCCACTGCCATAGATGCTAACGCGTAGTGATTTTGTTATTATAAAGAATTTAAAAAAAGACATATTCAAGCTTCCGTATCCGAAACTTCGTTGTTTAAAAAACCATCTGACAAACTGTACAAGATTCTATAACATGGTTTTCTAGCAACAATAAAATACTCTTGAAAATCTATACATCCACGCAAATATTGGTACTTAGCATGGATTAATGATGGATTCAAAATCAGTCATTATTGTAGCAGGCGATAACTGTACACCATAAGTAGACGCATAATGCCGAAGATTCGTTAACATTGAAAAATAGGTTATCTTTTCTTTATTTTTCAGTGTTGCAAAAAAACTGATTGTGTAGAAATAGAATCATAACCGTGAATTGTGTATGCTTGCTCGAATTGCTTCGGAACTGTCCGAAATGTTCCATCTGCTCCCCAATGTGGACTTCAATAAAAAAAACGCGCAACAAGTAGAAAGTTGTGTATTAGTTAGCTCTTGAATCCACCAACCTTATGGACAATCGAAAAAGACCTTCGTGAGAACAAAAACCAAGCATTCCTGAACCAATATCAACATCGAATGCACGAAAACGTTGACCATCAAGTGTTTTCTGAAGATTATCAGGAATCATAAAATCTTCTTTAGTGGGTCGGTATGTTTGTAACTGTCTCCAGCGCGCTCGATAGAGACTTGACCGAACTGATTCATATTTTGGCACTAATGCACAATCTGCTGTAGTTTTTGTCGTTTGACCTACAAGAAAATATTATGGTTCGAATTCTCTATAATCTTTTGTGCTCGCGACTCACCATCTCGTGAATGGCACCTTCGTACTGATGCGGTATTGGTGAAATATCATCTCCAACTTTTCGCTTTAAATCCCGTACTAGTGGATGCTCAACCTTGACTTCTTCATGTGAATGGTTCCCACGTTCCACTAAAACTGCTGATGTCGTTTGGTTGACTACTATTGATGCACAACAATTATGGCTAAATCGATACAGTTGATATCTAGTTACAACAACAAAATAGAAGCAATAGTAAGCAGACAACTTATTCAGTACAACGCCGCGTTTCAGTGCCATCAACTTTACGCATACGAAGGCGATAACGATACGTTTTATACAATAACGACTTATGACTATCTTTACTAGTATCTTCAGTCGCATATGTTAAGGACATTTTTTGTTTCTCGGTAATGCTTTGCAAAGTTCATCGCTTTTATAAGGTTGAATGTTCACCATGTTGATCGTCTTGGTATTCTTTTAATCTTTTGAACTGCCTTATGGTGGTCTAAACAGTCTCTTCAGCTGCTGGTTCTAAACAGTCTTTTCCGCATTGTTCTTTCTCTAGTTCAGAGCTTTAAGAAGCTTCTTAATTAGCTTATGCTTTAATCTGTTATCTTTCAGTTTACAACTGTTCTCCTTTGAGAATACATATGACAAAAATGTTCTCCTTCAAGAGTGCACGGTTTCAAAATTTTCTCATTTGAGATTATGTGGAAACGATTGTTCTCCTTCAAGAGTGTACGGTTCATAAATGTTCTCACTTGAGAAATTGTTAAGAAAATTGTTCTCATTCGAGAGGTCACCTTCAGTTAAATATAAAAAGTTTTATTCTCTATGCTTAAATATATAGTCCAGATAGTTGTAATAAAATTTCGTTCAGCAAAGAAGCAGAGTTGAAGATCATACGTCATAAAAAATTCCACAATTTTATATGATCAAAACTCATTGCATTACTAAGGATAAGTATGAGCATGTTCAGATTTTCAAACTGTTTCTTTTTGAAAAAAAACCTTTTTTGATAGAGAATTGCACGAAAAACATTTTAAACTGCGAAGCTCTGCTTTAGATTTTCCTAGTATCGTACATGGATTCAACTTAAATTAGACATCAAACATAACGCGTTTATTTTTCTACTCTTTTCATCTTGTTTTTCCGTTTTTTATATTTTTCTTGCTCATATACATATTCAAATAGCTTAGCAACCAATGTTGTCCAGTTTGATATTCCTTTGAAGTACATGGGTTTGTACTATATACTTATTTATCTTTTAGAAAAAAAGGTTCCTTTGAGTTTTTAAGATATGATCTTATCAGTATCATATTATTAAGTTTGCAAAATATGACAGTCGGATTTCCAGTTCAATTTTACTTAGTCCATAGAAGATGCAGAAACTTGGAGATACGACCCGAATGATTAACCATTTACAACGGTACCATAGCAGTGACGGTAGTGTTATAAAACTAAAAACATTAGATGAAAACAGAAAACTTGCTCTTTCTTTTTAAAAGAGAAATAATGTTGTACAGTTAGGACAGCCGTAAAAAATAATCGAATGCGTAGAACGTAGACGTATACTATATTCTACGCGTAGATAGAGATGAATATCGTTCTCTCGCCTTTCCTTTTCTCTTACTTTGCAGAAAGAGAAAAATCTATTATAGCTACAGAATGGAAGAAATTTCTTTTTCTGTTATCAGTTGCACAATTCAATTGACATACCATACCTATTCTTTGTTTTATGAAATAATGACCCTATTTATGTGCGACCGTTTTTTACGATGTTCGGAAGAAACATGTTGTCATTTTTATTAGTCATGATATGATGTCATAAGACCAAGAAGAGGAAACACATATCTAACTTTATTTGAATATAAAATGCCGCCAAACAAAATGACGTAGAAAAAGCAAAGAATGTCGCATTTCTTTTTCTTTTCTTTTCTTTTCTCGTAATAAAGATATTATCAAAAAATATACAAGAAAAAGAAAGGTGTGTTAAAGTTTTTTGTATACGAAAGCAAACACCACATTTCTGCTGTGCTAATTACGCACGTGTGTGGACAGGTTTTCCAATTCCTAAAAAAGAAATTCTAATGTTTTCTATTCACGGCTTCTTCGGCCCCTTTTTCTATTTGTTTTGCACTCTATTTTTTCTTCAAGGTGCTCTTTTCACAGTCTTCCATCACGCTTTTTTGTGAACGAATTTCCAATAAGTGCTTTTCTTCATATAAGAGCTAAAACGCTTAAGAAAGTGCACACTCTGATTTATCTAAGCAGACTAATTAATTCACAGAGCTTTTTCATTCTTTCAGGTAAACAGCACAATCACCGCGAATGTTTCTTAGAACAACATTATTATCCTATAGATAAAATAAAATGAGTGAACAACAATCGGTTCCCGTATATACAAATGCTTATGTGACGTGTTATGATAATTATTTAGTAATACATGATTATTATTTTCCATTTGGTAATAAAAAAATAATAAAATATGCTGATATTGACAAATGTGAATTAGGTTCTATAAAAGAATTAGGTTTTTTTAAAATAAAATCATGGGGTATGGCATTGTCACCAATATGGTGGCCGGCTGATTTGTATCGACATACAAGTCGAGAGAAATATATTTTATTAGATACTCAACAATGGCCTAAAATTGGTTTAACAATGAATGATAATGAAATTGATCAAATATATTATTTTATATTATCAAAAACATCAACAAAACACCATAGTAATGAACCAACAACATTTGATGATACTGAAGTTAATTTAAAAAAACATTTTTAAATATACAATAGACAGATACGTGGGATTCCCTTTATGCTCATTGCAAATGACATGTATATGTACATATTCTTTCTTTTGACCTATACAATGAAGATCTTTTTTTACTCTTCTATGAAATGGTCTTAAATATTGTTTGAACAAAAACATTTATACAATTTTTAAAAAGGAAGATTTTCAAACCATAATAAATCGACCATTTTATCATCAGGTAAGACAGAGTATAAAAGAGAAAGAAGAGGAAACTATTGCACTGATAGGGAAAAAGGATATGGTATGATTGTATTTTACCAGGAGAAAATGACAACATCTCAGCTATTGCATTTAAACACTCATCGCTACCTTTTTGCCTGTTCTATCTTCCCTCTTTAATTTACTCTGGGTTTCAGGTACATTTCCCGATGTCTGGAAAATACAAAAAACTAAAATGATATCAAGGGTCCCTCCTCAGAAATGGTCGTTTTCTGTCAAAAAATTGGTTTTGAGATAAGCAGATGAAAAGGCAGCCTGAAGTATCTACCTTCAGAATCTGTATCGCTTTTGGTTACAGAATTGAGTTTTCGGGAACGTTGAGCAAGTTTTCTAGAAGCCTCGGAAAACCGGATCTTCAAATAATACCTTTTTGTTTTAATCTCGTTTATTGATGTAAAAGTAGAAAATCCAAAAGATACAAGCCACAAAAGCGGATCGAGGATCCATATATATGTGACCACCGTAAAAAGAACGAAGAAATAAACCCTTAACTGTTATAGATTCGCTAACCCATACTAAATAGTACAAGAGGAAAAAATGAGAGAAGAAGCGAGAAAAAGAAAAGAAATATTATAAATAAATAAGTATACAAGTAAGCATAAAATGTGAGTTGTGTTGTGTGTTGGTACTGCAGATGTGTAGGTCGAGTGAATCAGACAG